CGGAAAGTCATGGCGTATTGCCTGGCAAAAAGAACCGATTTTGCAAACCAGTTTGTACGAACGATGAAATCCCGCATTTCCGTTACACGTGCGACACTCGATTCCTCAGATTCTTCAGGGTGATCGAAGATTAGCCCGAGTGTGGAGAATTAATCAGAACTAAATGTAGGTTTGGCAGAATACAGTTTCTATAATCATTCAAATGTCTTTCTTCTTATGAAAACCGCGAGAGAAGAACACGGTAAGTCACACTTCCCATTTTTCTTCTTTTTTTTTACAGAGAAGTAATTTTAAAACTTATTTATGACGCCAATTAATCCCACGTTACTATTCACTTTTGTCGAGTATCTTGAAAAAAAGTCGCAATCGTCGTTTCCGATCCGCTTCTGCGGTCGCAATCTCGAGTCCTGAAAGACGACAAATCCGTTCTACTGTTGTTATAAATCCTTTCATCCGGAATTACGATCCAAGTCGCGCGTCAACCATCTGAACGCGTGAAAATGCTCCTAGTTTCACTTTTAAACTACCGACCATTGATACAGGACGACGTCGCCTATACGAATCTCCTTGATTGATATTGACGACTTGAAATCAAGGTCGTTGATGGTCTTCCGATCGAACAGTGGCTATCGTGACCTTGATACACGCATGGATTCGAAGGGGTGGCGCGGAGGGAAGCGAAATTTCCCGTACGGCACGGTCGACCGAGCCGCGGAACCAAGTTGCGCTAAATCGCCGATACGAACGGTAACGTGCGAAGGAAAAAAAAATGGGGGAACAAGGTTACCTGGGAGAAAGTTAACGAAACAGGTAGATATCAAAGGCGCTCGAGCAATGCAAATCGACGAGGGATCGCACGTGATCGTTCGTGATTTTCTGTTCGATTAGGCGAAGAATTAAATTCCTCTTCTGTTAGCTAGCTAGCTAGCTAGCTCTGCTCCGGAGAACGGTCCTTCGTCGATGGACTAAGATCTGCGATAGAAGATGTAGAGTGCGATATGATGTATATGTATTTACGTACGCGTTAGATGAATGAGACTTTGACACGAAAGTGTGTCTGCTTTTACCTGGTAGATTATAATTGATGTACCTTCTGGTTATTCTGGTTCGTTAGTCGAATTTCGCGAGATAGAACGCGGGGCTTTTAGCGTAATAGACATTTCCGAAAGACAGATGTACCGGACACGGTTTTCTATTAGATTGTCGTGATTGGACTTGGCAGAGATATTAATCGATGCTGGAAATGAAATATTCCTCCGCATATCTGATGGCATTTCAACGTATAACTGTGTCGGCCTGCATTTTATCACATTGTACTTCCTCTTTTCTTTACTTTTAGTACCGAAATTTTCGTTTTACGTCTCTTATCACGATGAAATCCGTGACATGGAAACAGTATGGAGAAATTTATGACATCTATAAAAGAATATAAAATCAAACGCACCATATTGGTTACAACACTCAATAGATAAAACACATCCGAATCTAGGCTTTATTTCTTCATTTCTATTCATAAAGATATAAATTCGCATAAACATTCGTAGTATAGTTATTACCGGAGAAGTTTTAAGATGTAAGAATTAGCAGAATGCACGCAGGATCTAGGTGAATATAAAATATCTAAAACGTAGTACTCGTGATGCTATGTAATAGGTGTAGACAAATATCTTTTTATGAAAGCCACTTAGGCTTAGCTATCTTGATAAAAATACGAATATGCACGAATATGCAAGTAACGAAAAATATCTATTAGTATAATATGAGGCTCTAAATTGAACTTGTGGATTTCTTTGAAAACCGGTCACCCACGCCGTCTGGATGGCAAGACGGCCCCGGGTTCTGACGAATCGTCCGATTGGAATTCGATGTAACGGTCCGTATCAAAACACCTTCCGGGGACTGTGAGATCGAGTCGACGTCGAATAATCGGTTACCATATACGATTCCACGGCGGCATACTTTTCGTTGTTTTTTTAACACCGGTTGTTTCGTCGATCGGGCCTGCGGCTAGTTTAGGTTTCGTCATTTCTGAACGGTGTCCGAGTTTTCGGTGGCAGGGCGCTGAAAAATGGATAAGAAATATAGAACAACCAGTTGACGACGAGTCCAACGCAATTTCAAGTGTGTAATGTAAATTGCAGAGCCAATGATACTCCAGTGGCTCGTTTTAGATTTCGTAGGTCGATCGCTGGCTTGGCAATCGAATTAAAATTCTATTGCTGGAATTTAGTTTCACTATGTGATTTATTGAGAGGTTGACCGATTATCTTAGCGAATTTGAATATTTGAAAGTTCGGAATAGTGGAAAGTTTCAAATCCAAATGTTTGCAACAGTTAGAGTAATTGATATTTTAAGTACTTCAACATTGTAACAGTTTAATGTTTGAAAACGTGAAAACGTGAAAATTTTGACATTTGAAATACAGATGTAATTTTCGATCGATCTACTGTTCGATATCAATGCTCGTGAATAGACCACTTGTTTGCCGTTCGCGAAAACAACTTGTATTAGGAACCGTCCCCGGTTCAAGAATGAAAAGCGGATATCGTTGTTTTTCCGCATGCTTCCTCCCCTTCTCTCTGGCCGATCCGATCTCGACGAGACAAACCCAAGATGAACTCGCGATATCGCTTAGCGATCGTTCGATCTCGGCAATAACGTTAAAAACGACTAACTGTTCTTATACAAAACTATACGTTATGAGAGACGGACACGCAGAAATTCTAGCTCCAGCTTTCTAGCATAATTCTTTCGAGTCGGAAAAATGTTTTAATATCCAGGAAGACATGTTTCATACACGCGACAAATATCTTTCATTTCTATTATCTATTTTTATATAAATAGAAATGTATCTTCTATCTAAAATTTAATATTCGAAAGTATTGTTTTAATTCCACAAAAGTTAGGTAATCGAGTTTTTTAATTATTAATTATATCTATGTGACGAGGACTTGAATTTTTCAAGGACTTTTTTAAAAACATCCAAAGTCGAAGCTTTTCTTTCTTAGGAAATCAGATGAACAAAGTCACCTGCACAAAGTTGTACTGTCTCACGAGCACACGGGGTTCGAACTTGGCACACTTCGTCACACACGCCTTCTTCCTGGCGTAATTGTTTCTTGTTACGGCACGCGGTGCCGCGATATTTACTTTCTTTACGAGCGTAATATAACGCTGGCCCGTTGCTTTCTAGCGTGTTTTTCACCTCGATTCGAGTTCTCGCTTGCCCGTAGTCACGGAATCGCTTCCGTGCACGTGTCGCGTCATTCTTTTGTTCGTGAATTCATTTTAATTGCCGGTATAACGAATCAAGAGGAAAAGTCGGGAAAACTGACGAGAAATAAAAAGGTCGAGCCCACGAATTATACGAGTAAAGAGTCCGTGAAATGGCATTGATAAATCGTGTTTTCCCCGCCAGTTCCGACTTCAACAGTTGTTTACGCATCCTACGTGCGTGTTCTACGCTCTCTGCCCGAAAAATCAGTAGGTGAAAAGATGATGAGCGATAATGATCGTTAGCCGAATACCATTTACATCCGGAAAATGATTATGTTTTCAGATTTCCTCCGATATATCCTGATCCATAAATTCATATTCAAGAACAATATATTCAAGCAGCGTGCAGTAATCCCAAGTTAACGTTCAAACGACTCAAATTACCACCCGGTTAGCATCCGAATCTTCTCATGTCAAATTCATCTCTCGAATCTTCTACTAACACTTCCTCAAACCTATGAATATATAATCCATAAATTATGATCCATAAATTAATATTGAAAAAACAGTTCAAGTACCATAGCCAAGTTAGCGTTCAAGTGATCTAAAGCATTACCCAAGTAGCATTCGAGCATCATAAATCAAACCCAGCCCTAACATACTCTACCAACAACCAAGATTCCAAATAACTATCATACACTATAAACATTATTATCAATATTGGACAAACTCATCAATAGCTCGACGCGAAAGATCGTGATCGAGACGTTACAGCATCGACGGATCGTGTCGCAGTTATTGCGCCCGCAAGCGGCTGCTCATTCGGCCGCTGGCGTGCGTGCTCCACATCCGTGACACGGTTCTCGCGGTGGGTCGTGGCTGGTCCCTACGCGTCCAGGAATCTGCGCGTTTGTGTACGTAAAACGGCAACAAACGACTCGACGGCGGTCGATCTCCGTCGATGGCGTATCCGAAGGTGTCCGGCAAAGGGGGAACCAGTTTGCGGATAAGCGAGCCCTCGCCTTGGGATCTCTCGGGTCGGTGCTCTTTTCAGCGAGATCGAGTCGCGTAGAAGGAGGTAGTTCGTGCACGATGGATCCCACCACCTGGTACCGTGTCGACCAGTCAGCCAGCCAGCTCGTATCAAAGGCAAAAGTGGGCACCACCCGCCCCCGTGTGTGTTGTAGGTTTCCGCGCCTCCCGTAGGAAGGTGGTGCTTGTGTACCACGTTTTCGCATACGCAACTTCGGCCTGTCGTCTAGGTATATAAAGTGGTTGGGGCGCGACGATAGGTTCAGAATACTCGCTACGCTCGATCCACGCATCGGGTGACACCACACCGTCAAGGGACACCTCTGTCCAGCGATAAGCTCAAACAGGAAGGGACAGGCAAGAGGTGCCGTCTCTCGGTAGCGTGGCCTCGACTCCCAGCTTCCGTGCTCCTAATCGGACGATCGAAACATTGGTGGGTACCTTCATTCCGGTCATCTGTACCTTTTTGTTTGTTTCTTTATCGTTAACTAAGCAACTAGTTTTATTCCTCTGTGATTTTTGTCTCTCTGTTTTGAACTTTCGTGAGAGTCCTATATTCCGGCGAATACAGTTACGTTGTTCGCCTTACTTCGAGTCAATGATGTAGTTAATTAATAATTTAGAAACATTCTTCTAGAGTCAAATTTAGAATTCATTGCTTGTCAAACTTAACAAACAGAATCACCACTGTCAAAGAAGAATCGAATTACTATTTATAACTAAATTGTACGCGTTTTTACAGAAAAACAAGATGAAGATTATTCTGCTATTGTTGCCGATCTCGTGGCTGGCTATGTGCCTGGCGACACCATTGGAGAAGCTCGACAAGATTAGCGTGCTCGAGCAGCAGTCTGTGACGCTCACGGATCGGGCCAAATACGAGGAAGAGTTGCTTCGAAAGCTTAACTCCAAGTGCTCGCAAAACGACATGAGCAGCTGCGTGATGTTGAAGTTGGTTACCTACATGAACAAGCTACTGAAGAAGGCGTCGATCGAGCTGACAGACGATATCGAGATCAGAAAAACCAGCCAAGCCTCCGAGGAGGTGATTACGTTCGAAGCTGGCAGAAGCAACGACGATGAGTCTGAGGTCCTCGACCTTGTCGCCAACAAGGTGTATGCCTTCATCAAGTCTAGAAGTATCAAATGGAGAATTCTACCGGAAGATGACGTAGTTGTTTCTGCTTCGGAGGATGAGAACGGATCGTTGAATCTTGGCTTGTCCATCGAAAGGGCGGACAATATTCCAGTGCAGGATGGTAATAATATTTTTGCTATTCATAGATAATAGACACTTAGGATGTAAAATTTAAGGTGGTGGTAGAAATGAAATAATCTTTTTTTCCATCCAAAAGATTAACGAATCCATTTATAGAGAACTGTTCTTCATGAGATCTAAAGACTTTCTTTCATCCGAAACTTTTCCTTTTCATCTTAGAACAAGAGATTTCTACCTTTGACACCTACATCGTTCATCTTGACTTTTACTCTCTGTTTTCTGATTACGTTCAAATACAAATCCTTCGATGTAGCAATCTTGTCACGCCTCGCCAGACTTTATTGCCATGGAAAGTCTTAAGCGTTTTGCCTTCCTCGTGGAAAGTGACATCACAGGCTCATCCAACATCCAACTTTCAGGTCGCGGAAAGAAGAACAATAACATGGGTCCGTTGATCGCGGCGGCGGTACTGAAGATCGGTCTGATCGGTGGTCTGGCCTTCAAGGCGCTCGCGTTACTTGTCGGCAAAGCGTTGCTCCTTTCCAAGATCGCTCTTTTACTGGCCGGTATAATCGGTCTGAAGAAACTGTTCTCGCAACAGAAGCACGTGACTTACGAGGTGGTCGCTCATCCTCATCACACTTCCAGTCACACGTTGGATCATGGACACGGGGACAGCTATTCCAGCGGCTGGGCCAGAACTTTCCATGGTCAAGGTCCGATTTCCGGACAGACAGACGCTCACGATCTAGCTTACTCGGCGCACGCGAAGTGAGTCGAGGTGTTAGACCCGTGGATTCGAATTCGTGGTACCTGATGACACCGTCTGCTATCTCTCAGACCTTGTCAGATCCACTGATTCTTGCCAACACTCTCTTGCAGTTAGATTCAGTATCTAATTCTTCTCTGTCACTCTTTTTTCTATCTTCTTCATTTTTTTTATTCCTCGTCTCTCGAACTTTACCTTCCTACTTGGTCTATTCTTCTACCTTTTTCAACGGTGATCTTCCTTTCTTGACTGTGGACGGACAATAGACATAGACGGCATGCAACACAGTGTACTTTGGACAAAAAGAACTTAAACAAAGATTTCGACTATTTAATGGATTGCTTAAAATGACACGATGGCATAATTCGTGTGTATTTGTCGTTCTATTGACTTCTAGCGATGAATCGCATACTCACGAACTATTAGAAAGTCGAATCACGATCGTAGATAACTTACGGACGAACGAGACGCTCCCATAGAGACGGAAAATTATGGACACGCGAAAAAGGACTGCTGCATACTCCCTCTGTAACTATACTTTATTTATCCATTAATTTATGATTAACTTATTCACCCGCTCCACCATCACTGGATGCAGATTGTACAATAATGTTATGTTTATGTCATATTTTACTTGTATAAATAAATATTTATTGTTTTTTATAAAACGTGTATGCCTGGTTAATCCTGTGTAAAAAATTAGTCTGATATTTATTTTCCTCTTCTTTTTTGAAAATAACTAAAATAATAATAAACAAAATAGTACTGCGTGTAAAAAGATAAAAAAGGTCATTGAATTCTGAAAAATGCTTTATCTAATTTATTATCATCGCTTCTTGGTAAACGAGTCGTGCGAGTTTTCGTTCTTCGCGTATTTTCACGTAATTTAAAAATCATTGCGAGACAGGTGACACACAATTCAATTATTTCTTTTCCCAACCAGAAAGGAAAGGTAAGTTGTTAATTGTGGACTATTAGCTTGAATTACGGTACTTGTGAGTAGCGATAGAAATTACACGTTTAGATACACGTGTCATTTTATCATTATTTATTACAGCTATTATGCACAGCAATTATGATTAAATCCGAATAAGAACGTGGCAACGGAACTCCTTAAGTAGCTTCGCTAAACAAGATTGCCATTTTTTCTAGGGATCTTAAGAACGAAAAAGGATATTCAATTCGACGCAAGTATTTCATGTTCACATTCTTGAGGTATTTTATACTATCATGAAAAATTAACGAACTAAATAGTTCGTTATCCTTGGTCTGTTTACCGTTTGGAAATCTAAATCGAGTCCGTTTGAGAATCTTCATGATTTCACTAATTGACAATTTACCGGTGGAGTGTAGTTAAAAATGTAGGAATGTTCATTCAAAACATTTGGATGGAAAACAATCGTCATCATTTATTTCCAGTATATAAAGTACACAGAGAAAACTTAACCGTTGTAGAATTTATTTATGTACGATTAGACGTAGCATCGACTATATGAAAGTTGGATGGCGTATTTCTAGCTGTTCGATTGTAAAAATATGTCGAATGTCTTGTGGTATTCGTCACGTCGTGCTTCGCTTTGCGGAACTTAGCGGGACTTTAACATCAAGTGTGACGACGGCGTCGGCTTATCCTAGAAATTTGATTTAGTACCATCTTTTTTTTAGAAGCATCTCAAATTTCTAAATCTGTCATTTCACTGAAAATATCTTCTCGATTATTCAAACAAATAATTGCCATTTCCTAGACCTCTAAAAAATAAAAATAAAAATTAGTATTAGAAAGATATAAAAATATGCAGGCTTTCCATAACTTTCAAGTGAGGGATTTTTGGAAAAAGATTAAAAATTACTTTTCAACGCCATCGTTCACAAAAGCACAAACGTTCTCAGGCTCCCATACCTCAAATTCTCGACGCCTCGAGGTGTTCCCCACTCTGAGGAATGTCAACTTTCGGAGATGTCAAAGATGACCGGAACGAAGGGAAAACTACCGGAGGACCGCGATGCACAAAGTATCTCTCTCATTCGAATAAGTTGTCCTCGTTTCGCGGTAGCCGCTTTCTCCACCTCGATTGGGAAGGATCGGAAAGGAGATGAAGGCTCGATAAGGGACACTCAGGAGAAAGAATCTCTCTATCCCTTCCTCTCTCACTGTGACATCAACTTTCGGTTTCGGGTACGGGAGAGAGGTGGTCGTCATCGTTGACCCAGTTACCGATGCTCGTAAGTCGGAAAAAATCGACACGTGGGTCAATCGTATCGTATGATCATGAAAAATGATGAATTAATTTTTCAAATTGGAGATTCAAAGTTTATATGATTTGATCTAACTGTTATATAATCGAAATAGAAAATACGTTTTCCAAACGACCACGATATACACTTCCTGATTATTTATTAATTATTAAAGTTCGATAATTAAATCAGCCTTGAGTTAATTTTGATAATTTTTTAATCGAAACTAAATGTCACATATTCCACGTTAAAGGAATTACAAATGCTTGTTAAAAGTTAATATTTTAGTCTGTTTTTTATTATCCCGTATAATCGTAATTATGATACGTTTCTTGATCGAAAATTCGTGGCCTGGTTTCTTTTCGGAAGCGTGTTTTCGCCGGATTCGGAGAAATTCGTCGCGAGAGGAGAAAGTATCTAGATGTATCGATCGGATCTTCTTATTGCCGACGCAGGAGGATGTCGAAGGAGCGTTAACGGTGTCGACGAGTCTGTGAATGATCGATTGCCCCGCGTCGACACACATTTCGCCTATCGAAAGGAGAAAACGTCTCCGCGATAAATTCTAACACCCTCCCTACCACTGCGGTAGATTACAGAAGTTTCTGGAGAAACTTGGAATCGATTAAATGCTGTTAGCTTTTTTTATCAGAGAAACGGGAACACTCGTGTGCGTAAATTTTATCGAGATAAATTCATATGTTATAGAACGTAATATTTAGAACTGACGTTACAACGATATCTATGAACATTTTAAACGAAGATATAAAAATAAACTACTCGTTAATTAAAATTGCTATGTCATTGAGAAAAATAGTTCTAATTCTAGGTGTATGAAACTTTAAATTGCAAAGACGAAGAGTTACTCTGACAGAGATCATAGGTGACAAAATTTCAAAGGAAATCTCGAACGAATTTTTTGAAAACCCATAGTTTCCCACCTAATCCAGTATAATTTCATAAACTTTCTATTATTCAAGAATCCAAGGTATACACCTCCAAACTATCGCAAAAGTTTTCTCCTAATTTCCCAGTTTCAAGCGGCGGAAACTCGCCTTCGCCCTTGAAGGATCCGCGAAATCCAAGTACGAGAAACGTTCACGCACCCTCCCCATTCCCTCGGTAGTCAATCAATGTGAAAGAAGAAACGAAGAAGAGAAAGAAACGAAGAGAGGAAGAAGACTCGAATCGATCGCGAATCGTCCCATGCAATCGTCGATCGGGTTTCAAGGATACACGATCGTCCGTGTGGCGTGGCGTCGTGGCAAGGAACGAGCGAATGATTTCGAACCGGGCCTAGTTATACCTACCAGCCGGCGTTACGTATATGTATACCGTGTATCGTTCGAGCAGCACACGAAGGGAAGTGGAACAGAAGAGAAAGGTATGCGCAGAGATGAACTAGTTTTGTTCGACGATCTGGCCCGGTGCCGATCGAGCCAGACCGATCGTTCCTCCCGCTGGTTCCGTCTGTCGGAACCAGAAACAATCGTCGTTTAGAGTCTCGCGTGATTATCCTATTGCATTCACAGTGTTACGATGAGTTTCCCGGGCGATGGAAAACAGACTTCATGGTTGCTAATATCTGGCGCGGACGCGAGAGACTCGCGTGGCTCTGTCTGTTAATTGCATATTGAAAGATGAACAACGAGCAGGCACGCGCGTATAGAGAGATTCGAAATCGGCCACGTTCTCTTCTGCTCCACTAAAGCACGGAAAGAGGGAAAGGAAGTCGTATCCGGAGACGTGGGGCGGGCAGGGTACGATATCAGAAGACGCTGATATCTACTGATCTAGAATAAAAGAGACGCGAAGATGAGAGGTATGGGATCCGGCAACGGAGGGAAATCGAGAGGCGAGTGAAAGATGAACGGAGATAGGAAGTGGAGGCGTAAGCTCGTGTTGTGCGAGCTAGTCGCGCCTGCTCGCTCCTTCGCTGGAGCGGCCTCGCAGCCAACCGCGGCGTAACGCTCTAAAACGCTTCGAAAACAAGAATTAAAAAAACACAAGCTACGAGAGGATCGGCCGAGCGAACGAAAAATTGCAGGCTAATGCACACGGCCAACAACACGAATAAGAGAATGGTCTCTGGCCGGTCTCGAGTGGCGATGCTCTCGTTGCTTTTTTTATAATACAATCACCGACCGGCACGTACAACTATATAAATGAGATTTGAAGACCGACGAGATGCAACACTCGGACCTCCGCCGTAGGTTCCGTAGCATCTCTAATCTCTTAGCGCGTATCTGCCCGCGAATCGTGAAGTTTGATCGATATCATAACAGTTTGTTACTTTAACGGACGTTTTACTAGCGGACCGGAAATTTCGAATCGAGGATCGACGTGGTTACGATCGACACTATGGATTGGTTCAGGAGCGCGTCTATACGCGGACAGCAACGTCGTTGTTTGGCCCTCTGTCTGCTGATCGTTTGCCTACTTTCTACCACGAAACAGGCCTACTCCGCGGACGCCAACGATACGAAGGATTCTTTCAGCGGATTTGCGACCGACTGCTCCACAACGGACTCCAAAAACGTATCTGTATCCTGCTACGGAGTTAGGATAGTCAGGAAGATCATGCAACAGCTATTAGAGAAGTCTAGCAAGGAGCCTAATATCGAGATCTTTGATGGCGTTAGTTTGGTCGAGGTACCAGGAACTGGTCCCATTCGTAAAGGAAGGTTCATGAAAGGATTTGGAAATATGGGAACCCTGATGCAGTTTCTGGAGGGAAGAGAACTCAGAATTAAGCTGCCAAGCTTCTTGCCGCAAAATATCGAGAGTGCTCTCCAAGAGAGTTTACCGGCTGATCAAGGTTGATTGCAGATTCCATTTTTGGGACGATAATCGTGGTTTTACGGAGTCGGATATTTGACAAATTTTATTTTAATTTCAGCCAGAGCAGGTGGTGGTGGCGGATTTGGAGGCGGCGGATTCGGAGGCGGCGGTGGTGGTGGCGGCGGCGGAAAGAAGGGCGGAAATGGCGGAATAATGCTATTGGCGCTGATGATGGGTAAAATGATTCGCTAAATATAATACATTAGAATTTTAGATGAATCTTTGGATACATTTTTATTCTGTAACTTGTACAATTTATAGCTTTTGGAAGAGTTGTAAAGAAAGTATCTTGTTGCTCGTTTGAGTAGTATCTCGCAGTCTCATGTTTCGAAATCTGTAAGTTTTTTGATAGCTAAGAATAGTTTTTCTTTTTCTTTTTAAACTGGAATTAAATTCTCGTAATTAATGATACAAATCTCTAGATTTCAATCGTACCATTTGA